CAAAATTTTGGAGCAGAGTAAATTAAGACATCATTTGCGTTAAAAATATAAGCATCCGCTTTAACAAACCTTTAGAAGCATTGCCGTTATCAAATGACGTTGCAGTGATCACGCACAAAATGAAGCACTACTTCTCTTCAAATACGTCTTTTTACATATTTTATCTTGAAAGGAATTACCTTGATGAAGCATCCAAATTTAATCTTATATTTACTACGGAGTTAACTCTGATGAGTGTTCGGCACTTGTTTCTGGTGTTGGCCTTTAACAGTCGGACATCTGCGCATATTTTTTTTTATCTCGTTTTGAAAAGGAATCCTCATCTTGAAGCTGAACGTCCTCCATACTTCTGTTCGATCTTGATGATGACGTCAAATACATATTTTTCTTATGAAACTGCTAGTAATAGTTTTAAGCCGTATTTGTTTTTACACGCGGATGAAATATATAACTTATATCCTCCCCATTAAATGGCACCTAAACTGACATTTTATCAGGTTTCTTCTCATACTGCAGAACTGCCTTCTAGGACACTGAGGGATAAATAAAGAATGGTATTTTATTTGACATATTAAAGAAGACAGTTACTTTAAATTAAAATGAATTGGAAGCATGTAGATTATTTTATGTTAATTAATCATATATTATGATTTAAACCAAGGAGGTCCTACCTTTTTCTTACATCGACCCCTTTTAAAGGAATAATTTTCTTCATCGACCCCCTTACAATTTTCTCTATAATATGCAATATACAACGTAATCATACATACTACAAATAACTGCACATAAATAACTTAAAAATAGCAATTAAATTAGGAATATGAACAAAAGTTTTGAAAAATAGTTTATTAGATTCGTATAATTTATTATTTTTGCATTATTATCATTTTTCCTTTTTTTCAAATATAAACATCTTTTCATAAGCAAAATCACAAATTCTGACTTCACAAAAGTTGCATTTTAATTAATTCAATACCTTCGCTTAATGTACTCAAGCAATTTTTTTTAAATATTTGGCATAAAATTGCTTAGCTTAGTTTTTAATACACATCTTTCAAAAATACTCAATATGTTTCTTGTTTTCCATTCTAGTTTTATGTTCTTCGCATATTGTTTTTAATTATGTTTTCTTCTGTTTTTGCGTTTTACGTTTTTATATTGCACTTATTGCATAAAAAATGCATACATTAAAAATATCTTTGATTTTTAAAATCTTAAAATATTTTTAGTATATATTTTCCCTTATTTTATAAGATTTCATCTTCACTATATTACACATCTTTATAGTATAAACAAAAAAAAAATCACCAGTTTTATTAAAAATTTTCTTTCGTAATCAATGAGATCCCGATTATGCTAATCTGTTGTAGGTGCATATCTCTACTTTACTGTGCATATTCGGCTGTAGCTGCTCAATAGATCTCTTGATCATGATCGACTTCGCTGGGAACCCCTGATTTAAACCTTTGCTATAACTTCTTTTCCGTAACCCTCAACATTATGCAAATTAGTTGGTAGAGTATTTAAGTCGAGGGTTTTGAATCTTTCATTGTTAAAGATTTTGGCTTCGTCACCTGCAGTTTATTTTATATCGCCCAGCTCTGCCAGTGAATACTCCGACTTCAGCCCATTTTGCTAGCCGAAGTTAAACACGGAATTAAAATATTATGTCAAGTTAAGCAGATACTTGTGTAGTCTTCTATACGATAATTTAATTTGAACTTCAACTTTGTTATTTTAAATACCCGAAATTGGCAGAATTTATTTGTAAGCAAATGTTGTGCTTTCCGTTCATTCAAAGATTTAATAAAAAGGTTATTTTGCAATATTTTTAGGACTTTGTCCTAATATTTTAGATGGAGGAATATCTCGCTTTCCAAACTAATAAGATTTGTAGGACTTTGATTTAATTTACACACAATCAGGGCCCTGTAACCATAAGAAATTTTAGATTTATGCTGAGAAGCTTGAAATGAAGAAGTCTAAATTTTTATACGCTCATAGTATACTACAGAAGTATTAGAAAATGAAATAGAGAGTTTTAAATTGTATCCCATTTATTTTTGAGTTCCTCCCGCAGATGATCACATTAGTATTATTTGTTAAAAATCGAATTCTTTGCAAGTATGAGAAGATTTTTATAGAGATTATATAATTATAGTATTCGACAGGATATTACTTGATAAAGCACTGTTGATGAAATTTCATTACCTTACTAAGGAAGTTGAAAGTGCGATTTTGCAATATGTTCGTATCTCAAGAACTCGACAGTTGGCTTCGCTGGTGATTATTTCAGGTCTATAGCAGTTATACATATTGCTGTACAGATTAACTGAATAAGCACATTAGTCAGTCTCATTCGTTGAAAACACTGAAATGTAAACATATAAGAAAGGATATGATTTCTCTCTCTCTCTTTTCTTTTCTTTCTTTCTTTCTTTTTTTTTTTTTTTTTTTTTTTTTTTTTTTTTTTTTTCTGTTGTTTATAACGAAAGAATAAAATGAATTTTTTAGTATGAGTACCTAAGAAATGATAAAAAAGACTTATCATTTTTAATTTTGTATGGAAGATTTAAGATAAAACATTTTGGCTTCTTCTAATTTAGCTGATATTGATATAAAAGAACATGTTTTAAAAAGCTTAGTTTTATTCTTTTGATTTTAAAGTAAAAATAGATGGAATATATTTCAAAATAACACGTTTACTGCTAAAGAAATTTTGAAAAAATAGTTTCTGAAAAAAATTGAAACCTGAAGAGAGAAAAAAATAACGCTATAAAGCTGTTGGTTTTAAGATTTGAAAAAATGAAATGAAAAAATCAAAATAAATAAAATCATAAATTAGATTGCAAACTTATTTATTGGTGCGAAGAGAAATTAATACAATCACTCATAAAATGCGCGAAATTTAAGACACTGAAATCCGCAGAGTTAACTCATGAAGCTGGTTAAGGTAAAGAGAAAGCACGAAGTCACATTAAATTTAACAACTTTAATATAGTAGGGAAGTGATGACAACAATAAAAGATAAAATTTTATTTGATAGCTGCTCGATTGGCCATATTTAAAATAGATTTAGCTGGCACAAGATATTCTGATCAAGTTCAAACAAATCTTTATTACAATAAAAATTCATTCGTTTGATAAAAGATATGTGCATTCTACAGACTACTTCTTTAATCAATCGATTACAGCAAACCATTCAAGGCTATTCTCTTCAGGAGAGATGTTTTCATATAGAATATACCAAAGGAAGTATCTCGTATTCAAGTTACATGTGGCGAAAATTCGAAAGTTGTACATAGCGAACCTGTTCGCCCTAAACCGTACCAGGACAAGCTGCCAGTGTTACCCGCTTGGACATTTGTGAGCCTGAATTTTATTAAAACAAATGCGAGTAATTCCAAAACTGGATTATGGATTCGAAAGATTATACCCTAAAACACGATGGACCACTACAACTGGAATCTAAATAAATGTTTGAAAGGAAAGTCTCCAAACCATTAAATTGGTCATTGTAGATTTAACAACATAATTTTCGGCAAACAACACGCATCTCCTTATCTTACCCATGTTCTGGGAAGCATTTCGCGAAGAATACAGTAAATGTAGCAGACAGATCTAAAGGTTTTCGGTCTGGTATAAAAATATATATATATTTTAGCAGTTTATATTTCAGTGTGAAATCTCCTTATACATCGATACAGTTTTCACGTCGTTTAATGAGCAGCTCTTTGCCCCTGAAAAAGTAATCTGAAGTTTCTTCCTCAAAACGTTACATAACTGTTCTTTTCACGCTATGATCATCATTAAATCGTTTTTCTTTGAAGGTCAGATTTTAGTTTAGAGAACAACTAATAATGACTTGAAGGTAACTTTAGGCTGTAAGGGGGAGTCAAGCTCCCTTAAGCTCACATTCGATCTGAATAGCATTAACATATTGCTAGTTTTGAACTTCTGAACGAAGTCGGGGTACACATCTCGCAGAGACTTTCCCCATATAAACTGTTCATACGGAATGCGCAAAACAGTTTTAGATGGATTAGATCTTGCGATCTCTTCGAACTTTAATCTGCTCTCAATATTTCTTTCTATACACGTATAGTCTTTTCTGATGTCAATGCTACTAATTATCGAACTTCACAAAAATCTTTTTCTACAGGTTCTCGATCCACGTGAAATTGTTTTACGCCTTTTAGTAGCACTGTAAGGAAGGAAATGACAAAACACTACACAGTATGCACCTCATCCATTTGTTGTTTTAATTTCTTTGGGTCTTTGTTTTGTTTCTAATCAGAATTTGAATCACAGAACGATACTCAATTTTAAATGTTTTATAACACATTAGCCCATTACATTTTTTTCGTTGTTTTCCAAAATGGCCGTAAATAAATAGGGGCGCGCATTTACTTCTCTGCCTCAGGTAAACAAATATGAAGTCACGGTTCTGAAAACGATATTCGAGTACTTAGTTGTATAATGAATGTAGACTATTATAATAACATTTCCCACTTGCCTGAGATCCACCCGAAGTTGGGATGTTGCGAGAGTGAAATTTCCTGAGAAGAAACAGAATTTCATCACAAAATTAAGTGATATTTTATAGACTTTACTTTCTAGTCTCTAATAAGTAATTATTTCAGCAGAGAATAAAGGTATTCATACTGTAGTAGATTTCTCAAGTTGTGTTCCTTTAGATTGAAGACAATGCTCTCAGTCAAAACGAAATTGTCAACAGTTAAACAAATGCTACGTTAAATTATGTCCATTTCCCCCCTTTTTAATGCAGCGTTCTAATGTAATATACTATCCGGATTAGAATTATAGGATAAAATTACAAGACATACCTTTGTAATCATTATAGTGTGAACTACAAATAATTTATCAACTATTAAATTAACCCTTTATTTGACACAGTTGCTCAGAAACAACATGTGTTTTCACCATTTGTCAATTAAAGGGTTACTACGGAAGAGTGACCATAATGAAGCTTTTCTTACGGTGGTATGCCGTCTACATCAAAATAAGCAAAAGTTATATGGACCCGTTCCTTTTCTTTTCCTCTGAATGTATAGTGGCACTCCGTATCTCTGGGATAAAATCCGGGGTAATTAGGGGAACTGAAAGTTCCGTTTCCTCGTTCTTCGCTGCTGAAGAGAAATCGGCATTCTGAAACGAAATTCAGAAAAAAAATTAATAAAGATTTTTTAAACAGTTATCTGTTATATCTATGATGTGATTCCATTTACTTACATATCAAGCAGACGCATATAATAATAACCAATATCAATTGCATTAAATATACTTCATCCTTTAGGAATTTACATATCACGATCACCTTCTATTATGCGTTTACAGGGTGACCAAAATAAAACTGGCACGGAAAAGTATTTTCGAAATTTCTTCAAAACGTACTCTAAACAACAAAGAGACCATTAGAAATTAGAACAGACGTTTTTTAGTGATTAGATGGATAAAACAAAAAATGGAGCTGAAGATAAAATAACGTGTGCTCATTATTGAGTGTTATGATATGCACATTTCGTAAAGAAACAGTGCTGAACTGCTTACCCGCATTTTTAAGAATAGAAATAGAAAAACTCATAGGAAAATATCCAACGGAAATCTTAGTGACAAAATAGCATTAAACGGGCTCTGTAGCGAAGGTCAATTATCTTTTTTATTAAAAGAGTAAATTTACTAGCAAAATTATGCAAATTTTCTGGGATAATTTTATTTTGGCCACTCTGTGTTGATGTATACAGCCACAGATTGAAATCAGCGCCATAATTAACAAAATTAGTAAATTAAAATTTTCTTTGCATGTGAACTAAATTTCTTGGGTAGCATCTCTCGATAAAAGCATTAAGTATTTATGAAAAATATTTCTTAACAACATGTGATGCAATGAAAAACGTTTTGACTGTGGTAAAGCTTCATAAACAAGTTTAAACACTACTGAGGGAATTGAACAAGTATTAATAACATTCCTTGTCTTATTTCTAATTGTGATGGTTTACGGAGTTATGTTTCATTAAGTTTTGATATCCGCTTTATGAGAATAGCTAAGATGTTTGTATTTCTGACAATGAAATCGAACTGCGGTTCTACCTTTTATTCCCGGATGTGCTATGAAATAATCTCTCTAGATTTTGTCCCTGCAAATCCATATAGTAACACTAATCCTTATACAAACTATGGATCCTCGTACTACTGCATCCCTTAATTCAATATCCACAGTTCAACGTTGCGGAAGAAAAGGGGGAGGGAAATATCTTAAGTTCGTAAGTCGAATGTTTCGATATTTAAGACAAGGGGCAACAGTCCAGAACATAGCAGGTTAGACACTTCCAGTGATGTCTTTCCACGAGTCTAATGCTTGTTTCGAGATAATGTAAATAAATACGAGAATAAAAGCATTCATCCGGGAACCTGATATATATTTTCGGGTTATAGGAAACCCCTCTAATTTTTAACTCGAAACCAACCTGATAATCCTAAATATGTTTTTAGGGAATCTCGACTATCAGTGGAGCATTTGATTTTTTTGCTTTAGTATACATATTTCTTCTTTTTAAATCTGCTTCCATTCTTGTGTTCAGCGTTCACTCAATTCTAGTGTTAGGATGTTACCGTTAAGTTCCTCGCTCTTAAATCTCCACGATTTAGCACGGTAAGAACCTCAAAACATAAGAGCAGGAATGCTGCTGGTGTTTGAAAATTACCACTATTGTATTAGTGCTTTAGACCTAGAAAAAAGAAGGATTTTTATCTCGGCCGTTTATTTGTTGGAGTCCCAAGTTATGCCGACTGCTCAAAACCTAAATTTTCTTCTTTCTTACTTATCCTTTGTGATTAAGCTAAAATGTCATAGGGCCTTATTTTCAGAGATACAAGAAACAGCTTAGTATAAAAATATATTTTATATTACTTTATTTAGCCATACAATGTATAATATATTGCTGCGTACAGAATACTTTATTATTAAATTATTTAAAGTTGGAGATGTCTTACTTGCATTATTTATTGAATAAATGTTTTTTAATATATATATAACATACATAATTATATAGGGTACAGGAATATTCCCTTTTATGATACAGCCATTATTCTCAGTTTCACGTATCCGCGGTATGTCTTGAAACGTTTTACCTGCGATTTCTGGAGAACTACTATCATTCCCGAGAATTCGTCACCTTTAGGTCTTTCGTTTTTATTTAAATTATTGCAATATCGCTTCTGTAAAGCAATTTTACTGAAGAGTTGAGAAACCGTAAAATCAGTTCTCTGTCTTTTAAAGAGAAACTTATTTGCTAATTTTCTCACAAATGCCTGCAATAGGACGGCGACGTCGCTGTGACATGGCAAACATGTTACACTGTGACAACAGCAAAATCACAACCATGCCACGTCACAATGACGTTGGAGGTATGCGTTAATGTCTGCTTTTCATGGCGTCACACTGCGACGTTTATGTGAAGTAGTATTGCAACGTTAATGTGAAGTTACACTATGACATTGATGTAAAGTCACTCTGCGACGTTACTAGAAAGTTACATTGGGATGTGGTTGTAAACCCCTGATGTAACGTTGTTGTAAGGGCACACTACGACAGGGCTCTGAAGACACGCTTTAAAACTGATATAATGTCACTCTGCGACTTTTGTATAACGTCACAAATTGAAAAAAAATTTAACATCAAAAAGCGATATGAATTTATATTCATATCGCTTCATGATAAAGTGACATAAGCATGAATGGTATGTAATATAACATTGCATTATTTTTTAAATAATTGGTGTAATGTTTTAGTATTCCTATTTTATAGAGTTCTTTCAGTAAAATGCATCAGGCAGTAGTTATCAAGTTTTATCATTCCTCTAAGAACCTGTACTCTTCAAGGTGTTAAAATATATCCGAAAACTTCGAAATGTTCAAGTTATGGAAAATTTTCTCATTATATTAAGATTATATAACGGTCATCCATTTATGATTTAGTCACGAATCTATATAAAATATAGGGTACCTTTAGTACCTTTACCAAAACATAATGTGGATCACATATAATACCAGAACATATTATATATGACGCGAAGTGATCACATGACCAGTCACTTTCTGGTTTGAGTCCATTGCAGAAGATTTTAAGTATTACCCGTCTAGAAGTAATATAATATTGCTTTCTTCAGATCTTTATAATATTTACAGACACATTTTTCCAAAATTTCTTAATTGTATTAATTGTTTGATTTCTTGCTACAGCGTATTAAAATCTTAACTTCATTCCTTGAGTCTTGAGTTAACACCTCTCCCACCTGAATTGAAATATTAAAAAAAAAATTATTCTTTTCAAAACTGTTTTCTCTTCAAGAAAAGAGCTGAATTATTAGATCTCAAAACTGTTTGGAAAGAAACAATTTTTTTACTACATATAGGATATTGACCTATATGAATATTTCTTTTGCATAACGAATTACTACGTTTTGATTAAAATCCTTTTGTAAATCAACAAAATCATTCACTAAAATAAAATCTTAGCTTTCATATTAGTTATATGTTGCTTAATCTGCAGTACTGAACGAATGATTATGTGCACAAAAATCAATCGATCAAAAACGTGTCTCTGGAGGATAAATCAAAGAAAATTTACATTTAGTTATATAAAATGTGAATTTGATATCGCCATTTATTCTCCACTGGCAAACTACTGTAATTTTATACCATATTTAAATTATAAATTTAAAATAACTTCTTCAATTTATAGAAATTTAATATATTTAAATAATTTTAAGGAATAAAAATGTCGTTTAATTCGTTCTGTTACTTCACTAATTATTTGAATAACTTATTTTAAATGTGTCTGCTTTTCTGAAACGCATTTTATTGCTGTCTTAAATGTTAAATTGAACAAATTTTGTACAGTATATAATGTAAAATAATAGCGAATCTGCACGAATTAATAATTTTAGTTCATAACACGATTGTTGTTACCAAGGCTCAGTTACGGCAAATCTGCATTACTCACTTTAGAGAATATACACTTTACTGTTTCCTTCATAGCAATAATTAAATATTTTTAGTAGTTCCTAGTGTAAACTGCATGAAACAGATATACAGGGTGTTCCGTAAATGTTGCGACAAACTTCTGGGGAAGATAGGGCACATCATAAGTATGCATAGGAACCCCTACCCAGAAATTCACTGTACGCCGCCAGGGGGTGTTGTGCAGGAGAGTGTTGGTGGAAAGTGAGGATTTCTTCATTCGAACCCTACGCCCCATACGAAGAGCATGGAATGCTATACGAACGAAGAGCTTGTAAACATGTGGTTCCAACATGATGGAGATCCTGCTCATTTTGAACTGGATGTTCGTAGCCATTTGAACAGATCATTCCCGCATCGATGGACCGGCTCCCTGGCCCTCACGCTTAGAGGATTAATTCAGCCTTGATTTCTTTTTGTGGGGCGCCATCAAAAGTGTCGTGTAACACGATCCTGTTGTGTCTGAAATGGATCTCGTGCCACGACTTGCCTACGCAGCTGCTACAATCAAAGAAACTCCCGATGTGTTTGAACATGTCCGGCAATCAATGGTCCGTCGGTGTCAGGCATGTTTAGCGTTTGATGGTGCAAACTTCGATCATCTGTTGCATCATTGAAGCTGTCGTACACCATTTGTATTCCCGTCCAATAAATTTTTCAAATTAATCACACCCATGTTTCCTTTCCCATCTTCTACCTCTGCTACCACCCTGACATTTCCGGGCATGGGGTCCTGTGCACTTCTTAATCCTTATGATGTGCCCTACCTCCCCCAGAAGTTTGTCGCAACATTTATGGGACACCCTGTATATATGATAATCTTTGTAAGTTCCATGTGTTAACCAGCACGTCCGAAGAGGTAAGCACAGTTTACTGCATACTGATGTGAATGATAGCAATACTAATTAATATATAGTAATTAAAGCGTAAATGCCATAGATACACGAACTTTGTAAAAATCAAGGAAGATTCTTTGCTGTCTACGAACTTCTGCAAACATAGAATTAAATCAGTATTATTTTTTAAGTTGGGCATTTAGAATTATTTTAATATGGTTTTTAAAGAGCGATGGTGAAGATTTGGAGAATATATTTTGAGATAAAGATGGCCACATGAGACACATACAT